TAAGGGTGACGAAATTGAAATTCTGATTTTTGAGGCTAAGAGACAAAATGCTGGTATTTGCAGGAGTCGTCAAAAAATGTTTGCAACATGGACATTCATTTCGATTGGCAGGCGTGTGACTCAAGAGTGAAAATGTGCGTTTCGCCTGCGCGGTGACTCGATTTTGCTCTTCAAGGGTCAAGAAAAAAAACATTAGAAATTTATGATTTTCAACCATCCGAATCATATCAGGGCGACATTCACTCTTCCAGTTTTTTCCTCTTCTCGACGCTAGCGGTGCCAGAGCGCTTGTGGCAATGCAGAAGCCACAGTCTGCAACAAGGCAGCGTTGTGACGCCAAGTCCAGCTGTAGGCCCAAGTGTACCTTCTTTTGTGCACGTTTTATTTTTGTTGTGGAGCATCGACGGAGGTCGCCATTTTTTCAAGTGTTTCCATGTTCCATGCATTTGTTGGGTACCAGCAACAATGGCTCTATAGGATTTATCCCACAAACGACCTCGGAAATGATAAGTCTTACAGTAGTCTTAGTAAAGATATTTTGTTTGTGGTTGACTTGGGCCAACTTGAACCTTTTGCGGGGATAATCTTTGACACAACTGACAGCATGTGCAACGTTTGCATCTTCCGTAACGTAAAGGAAGTGCTCGTCAGGGACGTTAATACACCCCCCCACCCCCCACCCCCACCCCCCCTGATGATCATACGACAGCATGCGCAACGTGTGCATCTTCCGTAACGTAAAGGAAGTGCTCGTCAAGAACGTTAATACACCCCCCCCACCCCCACCCCCCCTGATGATCATACGACAGCATGTGCAACATGTTAAAAACTCAAAAAAATCAAATCCTATACCCCCATTTCCGCAAGCCTCATTTTCAAAATTTGCAACCCTTCCAAGGGATCGTAAATGGCACATCTCAAAATTGGCAACCCTTCCAAGGGCGCCGTATCAGCCGCATGCCACAAACAACCAAACAACCAAACAACAACCACAACCGCAACCACAACAACAACAACACCTACTACTACAAACTACAACTACAACTACTGCACTACACCACACTACATCCAGGAGTTGTGAGTGAGGTGACCACTACAATCATTGCAACCACTCCAAAAAGCACAACTCCAACCACCTTTCGGTCCATCAGTGGATTCGCTCTGCCATCCATGCAGCATCACAACAACTCACCTCTCCTATAGTGTCAGTCCTATCCTTGAAACTTCCGCCACCGCCTTGCGCGGTACTACTGGTACATGAATGGTACAGGAAATCAGGTATTGGGATGGTCTCTGAAATAGGCAATTCAAGCAGCAATCAATGGGGATACAATCAGCAATGGTTGATGCTACCAGTCCTGCGAAATGAATAGCTACGTGTTGTCCCCTGTTCTACAATGTTTTACATAAGCACAACCATCTAAGCCATCATGAAACTGTGAGTTCCCTAAGAATCGCTTGTGGAGGTTTTTTCAATACCGCTGGTAATCACAATAAAAGCGTTGAAAAACAACGTAAAATCAGCAGCGGAGATGAACAGCAGGTAGTATGAATGCCACACATTTCGTTGAACCCAACGCCGCATCATTGAGTGACTGATTGACTGCCTGATTGAATGAGACCAAGTTGCAAACGCCCTGTCACCAAAACAAAATCGTTACTTTTTGGTATCGGTTGGGTAATGTTGGGTATCAGTATATATCTACAATTTGGGGTGCAAATTGACAAGATCAATTCAAATGATAGACTTTGATGCACGGAGGTCAGGCACACGCCCGAAGGCTAAGGCGAAGCAAGACTAAAGGAGGTTCCACCATCCCACCCCACTCGTCTTAATTTAATCCCCAAGTGGATTTGCCCAAACATGGGGTATAATATAGTATAATATAGTATATGTGGAATTCGGGTACCTATGTTCAGACAAAACGATGCTTTTATTTAGGAAGGGGATCATCAACCATCTATGACCTCCTACTTCTTCCAAGTGTCTTCAATGCAGACGGATTGCCCAGGTTAGCAACTACCTGAGGCGAAGAGTAACCAGTGAGCATCGGATTAGCAATGGCAAACACTTGGCAATTTCATGTAAATTCTTACACACCCACGTAAAAAAAATTGGGTGAACGTCCCATTCCTAAATGGCAACGCGTAACAACTGGTATGGGAAACTGGTCGTATGTGGCTATGGTGACGACACTTGGGGCCAGTAACTTGAGCATCATTTACTCGGCAAGCCGAATAAAGAACCAGAAATATGATGAAATATGTGCACAGTGCTGCACAGGGTGTTGTAAATTAATAAACACTAAACAATATCAACCATATGGACTCGTTGTGCTTTATTCATCTTTATTGTTGGTTCTGACACATCTGGATTACTTATGTATTGGTTGCAACGGTTGTACACAATGGGGGCTTGCTATCTACGTCACTGCTGCCAATGACTCCATACCCTGTAGCTGTGGCATGAACAAATTGAAGAGCTTAGTGAAATGTTCATCTATAACCACCTATCCATCTTAGGTGATACTCTCCGTGGATCTCGTTGGTATATTTGGCATCCACATGTTGACCCATGGCCAATTCTTTCGGGGATGGCAAACAGTCTGCAGTTGGCAACTGTTGCAGTCGGGGACGTTTTCCCCAAGAAGAATGGGGGCGACCTTCCTCATACAGTCCGTGTCATGAGGCAATCTACTGCCTGGGCATACCCATGCTCTGCCAGCATTGTTATTATATGTTAGTCTATTCTGATCTCTCATGTGTTGTGCTTCGAGGCTGACTGTTGAAACACTAATCAAATCGAAAAAACAGCAACTGTTCAAGTGCCTTGTAGCTTGTTTTAAACCTCATACCAGTCCAGCTAACTACCGTGGTCTCGTGGTCAAGCCGCCAAGCCTCGTCTGTTTGAATGCCCGCTTCTTGGGCTCTTGGAACTGGACTCTGTTTGATCGCCATTGATATGGAAAGTCAACCATTTGGGAGTGAAATGACTCATTCCACCTACCATTTTGTAGTGATCTTCCACCATTACCCCAAGGGGTAACTGAATCACTTTAAGGGATCCTCATCTTCCCAGAGAAAGTCGTGAAACTGAAGGGTTTTCCTGATCACCACAATTATCGGGGTAAACTACAGTGTACAGTAACTACAGCATGAAAGAAAATCCCGAAAAAAAGCCCATCTTGGGGTGTTTTTGTAACGTGCTTTACCCCAGGTTTACGGAGCCTGGCAATGTTTGGACGCCATAGCCAGAGTCAAGGCGCAGCGTTGAAGCCCAAGAAGAGTCGCAAATGAAGAACTTTCTGAGGAGACACAAAGGCACCTCAGGGATACGAAATTGAAAATGTCTATATACCGGGAACAAAACCTAGTGAGAATTGGAGGTTTCCCAAAATGACAGTAGCCCCTACAAACTATCCATTTTAATAGGATTTTTATAAACTATCCATCTTTGGGTACCCCGGCTTTGAGTGTTGGGCTTTGCCCTCCAATGTTCACAGGAAAACCCATGGTTTCCCATAAACTATCACTGATCAGTCTGCGAGTGTCCACAAAGGTTTTAGCCACCGCAACTTGAAAAAACCATGACCAATCATTCACCGGAATGAGTGCTGGATAACACCCATGTGTTGTTTCATTCGGCTTTGTCAATATGAAGAGTTGCTGTTTCTAATGGCCAATCAGGGGTTTCCATACATGGGGGGTCTAAAAATGCAGCCCCAGTGGTCTTCATCACAGCTTAGCTGCGATCCAGTCATCTTGGAGCTTCTCAATCCAGTCATAGAGATAGCAAAAAGAGATGGGTTTCTGTGAAAATATGCTGAATGGTATCCCCACTTTCACACAAAGCCACACAGAGAGAAGCCCGAAGCAATTCACCTGGAGTTTGAAAATCCACCACCCAAAAATACGGTGTATATACATATATCATATATAATAAATATAATATATATATATAATATGTATGGGTATATAATGTGGGATCATAATCTCAAAAATGCTTGAAACATCACCAAAAAAATCGGACAAGTCGTTGAAACCACCAAGCAAAGACAGTTTTTGCTTGGGGCATTTCCACGGATTTGCATGGCCCCTTCGAAGGTGACATGGGGCCGGGGTGCACCAAGGTGCTGTGCAAGCTTGGGGCAGCTTCCCACCAAGCATTAAAAAGCAGCTCGCCCGCCTTGGGCCACAGGATTGATGCTTGGGCTGGTGGTTCCTGGGGTTTTACATATACCACTTGTGTTTGTTAATGGGGGTGCTAAACATGAGGTTTTACCACTGAAAGTATGTTCTTTTTTGTGACTTTGACCGACCCAAAGTGAGGTCATAAGAGATATTTGGAGAAAAAAATGTGCACAAATCAATCAAACCCTCAAACATGGTCTATTCTGAGTTGGTCCATCTCATCTTCCCTGGTCCCTTTATTCATCATCAAACCGATGGGTCGTAGTTTCTCCACCCCTGGGAATGAGCCATTGTGGGCCCGAAACGCCCGCGCTCCAACGTGCACCAAGAGACAGCTTCTTGTGAAGCTGCGTGGGCCAAGAAGGCTTGCCAAGTCTGTTGTACTTCAGCCACCTGAGGGGCTCAACATGCAGCAATTCAATGGCATAGTTTTTGATGATTGGCCAAAATGAGTGGAACCTGGAAACTCTCCCGAGTAGATGTCCCAGTCTTCGTGGATTTATCATGATTTATCCAAGGGGTAAACAAAGAACTGGTCCAGTTGGTGGTTTCTGCACCTCATTTTGCCTCGGCTGGAGTACAATATCAAAGGGACCATTTCCAACAAAACTCGGGGAAGTACCTTCAGCATCTCCAGGATCATTCTACCCGTGGGTAGTCTAGGAGTGCAGATCTGGAGAACTTAAAATCATGGAAAATCCTCCATTTGTACATGGACCTCCATTATTTTCCACAAGAAGTTGGGATGTCCCAGCGTCAGGAATACCAGCAGCTACCCGACTCGCTCTTGGATTTTCACTTGGGATGCCCCCGTTCTGGTGGATTTTTTGAATGGAAAAAATGCCAGAAAAAATATGTGTCAAATCGTGGAACTTCAATGTCCCAGGATATGCTGGGAACACCTGTAGGAAACCCAGAAAAATATGGTAAAAACATGTAAAAACCATCAGGGGGGAAAAAAAACACATAGCCTCTGGTAAATTAACATAGACCCTGGCAGATAGGGGTTGGAAGACTAGTTTCCATTGAAAATTGGTGATTTTCAGGGTCTATGTTTATTTACCAGAGGGTAGTTTCTCATTGATTGAAACCGATCCAAGCAACTGTGTCAGCAGGAAATTCCACTTTGTCCAGGCTCTCATCGAAGCAAACCTAGCGTGGCTTCCTGTTTCGCTGTACCGCAACTTCATTGGCGGTTGAATGAACACTCAAAATTGTTTGTGAACATGTGTAACCTGATTTAACTCATAATAAATACCGGGAATTACCAGAGTTTACAAGATGTGAAAGAATCATGGCTTAGCTAGGAGGTACATGTAAGTAGTGGCTTGTGCTTGACTATGGTCCAACCAGGTAGAATCAGGTAGAAAAATATCCGCTCACCAACCAACCATCAACCATCATCATCCATGGGTCATGACTGATGTCCCCATGGGTCACATCACCCAACCATGAATGGTATATGGTCAACCAAATGGCTACTATGGTTGGTGATGTCCAATATATCCAAAATGGGACAGTTACCAACCCCTGTCAACCATCATCAACTCATCAGATTTTTTCCGGACTACATCCCTATGAAAAAAATTATCTACTGGTCGCTGAAAGGCATGAACTACATGCTGAAATCTCACTGAGGAGCCTTGTACTTCTCCAAAGCCGCATCTGCTTCTACTACCTCCTCCTCCTCCTCCTCCTCCAGCTCATTGGCTCCTCATTGCGGCATGGCAAGCTTTGGAAGCAAAACAGTTAGTAGCCTTTTTCGGGCTGGAATTGAATGAATGAAGGATAATGAAGGTATGAAGGTTTAGAATCAAGTTATGTATGGACATGTATGGGTTAGTTTCATCTATGTTTTGAGGAAAAAAACAAGTCTAGCAATTAGCTTTTAGCAGTGATGCATTCAGTGATTTCTTAAGTCATGCTCAAACAAACGTGTTTGTTGCAAAATGCAGGCTTAAAAAGCTGTCTACATCACCAGCCTGTGTGAGATTGTGTGAGTGTTTCGAACCCTCATGGCAATTGGGTGCTGCTTCCTATGGATCTAGTTATTTGAGGTAGTGTTCAACTATTCTTATCGATTCAGAGTACACTTTGGTGCAACTAGTTGTGAGATCTTGTGAGCAGCGTTTGAATTGAATCACCCTAAAGTATTTATATAGATCCTTACTGATCTGATCGATCCGCATTTGGCATGCCTACCTCACTGAATGATTCCGGTTGGGGTTTTTACATGCCATCACTCCATCGATTTCAGGGATAACTGTGGTCAAACCCGGCAAGAGCAAAATCACCAAACCCTCCAGTTGCAGACATGATTTATACAGTGGTTGGATGTGGTTGGTGGTTTCAACCTCTGAAAAAATGCTCGTCATTGGGGATTGTCATCCCATGTCATCCCATTTTTATGGTTGAAACATGTTGAACAAGATGGTTCAATGCTTTTTCCATGTGAGTTGTAATCCTTGAACCGAGCAGTTTAGAATGATTCATCTTACAATGATGTTTCTCAGTTACCCTGTGGTTATTTAACATAGCCATGGGAAATGGCCCATAGAAATCGATGGTTTACCTATTAAAAATGGTGGATCTTTCCATGGCGATCTGTTAGTCATAACCAGATGGTAAAAAAATATGGAATAAAAAACACCTGGAACCTCTCCACCACCGGATGACACGTCCTTCCGGCACTGAACGGTCCGGACTGTTGTCCTCCTCCTGGTCTTCCTCCACGTCCTGCGGTGTTGATAAAAAACACGTGTTTTTGCCATGAAAATCCTAACACGTGGAAAACATGATAAACACATGATATATGGCTTTGATGATCAATGTTCTTTTTGGGATTTTTGTGAAAAAACACTTTCAGACTAGCGGACAGGGTTACTTCAGGGTTACTTCCTATTCAGAAATTGGAGAATCACGAATAATGACGATATCAAAATGGAACTCTTTGGAATTGTGTTCCCAAAATTTCCCAAAAACTCTCTGATCCATCGGAGTTTCAACCTTCTCCAGCCTCGATGAAATCGGTCTCTTCGATGTCTTCGTCATCCATTACCCGAACAAAGCGGCTGCGTCCTACAATTTAATCGGGGCGAGCCGAAAAACGTGCTGCAGTTTTCAGGGTTTTGAGATCAAGATCAACAGCGCAACAGCATATCACTTGGAATTTGGTTTTGGATTAGATACTTACAGTAATACTGTAACAACATCGCTGGTGACAACAAATATTCACCTAGCTTTGCCCTGATTTTTCTATGGATCAAAACTCTGGTAGCCTAATGAAAATCACCAAAACGCTATTGGGATATTGGCATGTGAATCTCCTGCTGTTTTTGACCCAACAGCCGTATCGGATCATGTGGGATCAGTGCCCCCAACATCCAATGGTTTAGCATCATCTGACCCCTTCCGCAGATTGAAAAAAAATCCTTTTGCCCATCCCCGCATCCAAAAATCCGTTCTTGACAATTTTGGAACTTCATAATTTTTGGTACATATAGATCATATAGTAACAATTATCAACCGCCAAATCTGGCTTTGTCAACCATAGATATCATAAGACATCCTTGTATATTCTCCAATATTCCCCATATACCCTGAGGTGTGATCAAACATGGCTGAAATCCGCACTAGCCATGGAGGTTTATAGTTTATATAGCTGGAAAAAAAACATCACCAGAGGCTAAATCCCATTAAAATCACCATTAAAATCACCATATTTTTGTTGGTTAAACCCCATTAAACCACCATTAAACCACCATTTTTCCATGTAATAAAGATGGATTTTCCCGCCACATCTCCAAAACTTGGGCACCAATGCTCAGATCTGCCTCGGCGATGCCCACCACGCTGTCCTGCAATTATGGCGGGTTTCTTGAAATGGGGATCCCCAAGTCACCATGAGTCTCAAATACTATATAAATACTATATAAAATACTATATAAATGATGTTTTTTTGTCCTCCATATGCTGAATGGTAGAGTTAGCTCCATCTGGGTCATTTTGAGGGTAAATGTTAAACAAATATCCCATACATGAAGCGCATGGTATAGCTGCACCAAATTTTGGGGTTGGACCTCCATGAATTGGGAATGTGACGGGCACTTGTTTAGGATTCGACCATAAGGAAAACGACTGGCCAATACTATCAATGGAATAGGAAGTGTCAGCATACCATCGATGATAATATTATAGTATGCCTCCTATAATCATGATATGCCATAGTGATATGCCTCCTATAATCATCACTATGTTTCGCAAGATTCGCAATGGGTCTCGCTTGAAGTATCGTTTCACTCTGCACCATGCAGAAGCGGTTCTTTCAGCAGTCCCCCCTTCCGGTCCTTCCGGTACAAATCTCGATGCCACACCTGTGTTGAAGATAGTAGCCACCGTCTATAGTACATTGGAATACAACCACGTCATTGCCTACATGCTCCATGGGAAATCTAGCAACATGTAACCACTGTAGCACAAACACTAAAAAGCCATATTTAGCTAAAAACTGACGTGTCAATTCATGTATCGAAGGACCTAAAGCTTCCATACCAGCGCAGAACCTCTCGGCGCGGGTTCATTCAGTTTGGGGTCCAATGTTGCAGGAGGATTCATTAATATGGATTCATGATCCACCGAGCAAATTTATGCTTGGTATGGATTGGTTCAAGGGAACATCGGAAACAATGATTCTTACCCAAAGATAGGGATTTCAAAAAACCAAAATACCGGGGATGGAAAATCCAACATGGAGGTAGAAAAAAAAATCCAGACAATCCTATGGAATTCCACAGCGAGAGTGTGTTTCCTGAAGCAAGCTTAAATTGCACGCAACACATTTTACAAGTATTGGGATAGAAAGCATATATACCATTGGGAATCCCAATATCATATCCCTATATATAGATCCCCAAAAAATATAGATCCCCAAAAAATATGTCCAACTTATATCCCAATTATATGTATATATATACTATTAGACATCAATCTCATCTCCAGCTTTGTCGCTTAAATCCCAATTAGAACATCCCCATGTCCAGCTTTGGCCTCCAGGTACAAAGGCGACGCCTCCAGTCCGGCCTGGAAAACGGTGGATTTCAGGCGGATCTGAGTCTTTCTACTTTGCTGATGATATATAATATATATATATATGTGGATATGGTGTAGATATTCATTTTGGACATCAATTTATTAGATGTTAGGTGTTAGATATTAGACATTAGATATGAGATATTAGATATAGAATGCTATAGAATGCTATAGATATTGATATAGATATAGATAGGATAGGATACGATTAGATTAGCCTGGAATGGACCAGATTAGATTTGATTGATTGGATAGATATATAGATCTTATAGATCTGTAGATGGTATAAAACAAACGAGAAGAGAAGAGAAGAGAAGAGAAGAGAAGAGAAGAGAAGAGAAGAGAAGAACATATATGGATAGATAGATGGACAGATAGACGTATAGATGGATATGTGATATGTATATATATAGAGATAGATAGATAGATAGATAGAGATAGAGATAGAGATAGAGATAGAGATAGAGATAGAGATAGAGATAGAAACAGACAGAGACAGAGACAGAGACAGAGACACAGACAAGCAGATAGATAAATGGAGATCGATGTTCTGTCGCAACTTGTTTCTTAATATATAGTAGTTGATGCTGAGTGGTCGTAGTGAACAGGTGTAAACCTGGAAATTGTATGCAGTCATGATAAGAAAACATCATCTCTCCTGGAAGAGTTCTTCTTGGAAAGCCCTGTGCTGGTTTATGATTATGAAAAGTTGGCAGCTACTGACATATCTGACATGTCTTAAAATTGTGTCACTTTTGTGGTTTCAGCACTCGCTACGGAACCAGCATTAAATGATCGAACCAACGGACTGATCAGTTGCAGTCTGTGCGTTCTCCTTCAAAATCCAATTCGATTGTGCTTTTGCGTTGGCGAGTCTTGAAATGTCTTGACCCTACGCTCTGCAAGCTCGTTCATTTCAACGAGGTAATTACAAATGTGGGCACCTTTGTTCATGTGTTTCCTGCTCTTTCAATACCTTTAAGGGCCAAACAAAAACAACTCCAGCAACTATTTCCAAGGTGGTGTTCCCAGTAAATTGCTCCCTATTAACTTATATATTCCCCATAAAACCTATCCATTCGCCTTAGAAACATGGCTCCCAAGTTACCTAACAATTTCTGGGGAAGCACATTGTAGGTCACTTGATGAAAGACTTCAGGTGCAGCGGCCTGATGTGATTTAAAGTCTGTTTCAATGCATTGAAACCCCCATGTGTCCTTGATTAAAAAAAACACTGTCAATTCTTTATGGCTTAAGTCTTGAAAACATTTAAAAAAAAAGGATCGACAGTCGGCTTGGAAAAGGATGGTAGTTCCATGATGTGTTCCCCATCATTCCCAGGTTTCCGTTACCTGCAAGTCATCGAAGTTCGAAGTCAACGTGTAGGCCGCGAAGGAATGAGGCATCGACACCGTCGCCTGTGATGGGGTGAAGGTGTTGGAGAGAGGAAATCGGCAGGAAACCATGGATTTCCCCATAAAAATGGGGAGGGTTCCTGTCGTTCCCTTAAACCAATCCATTGAATGGTTCAACCATCAAAAGTTGGGATATGAAATCATGAGAACCAAAAAAAACTTGGGAGATCAAACTATGATTCAAGAAAAAATAGGGATCGAAAACACCAAATACGAAGGGGTTCCATATGGTTCCATGCCAGATTTGGCGGGATTCGAAAGCAGGGTTTGAAAAATTGATAAACTGGTGGTTGAATGGTCAGAGACCAAAAAGAAAACAGTCAACCCATGAATTGCGTTTGCTGCCTGAGACCCTAAAGCTGGCCGAATGTGAACTATCCATTCAGCAAGGCCACCATGGTTTCATAGAGATTACAGTATCCCTGGAAACCCAGCCGAAGGAACATGAACGTCACTGGGTTCAGGTTAGAAAAATACAGAGAATTCAAGCACGTTCGCCCTGCCTTTTTTCTCAGCAGGTTGGGCCTCAGCCAAGCTGAAGGCTAAACTGGGAGTTAAAAAAAAACGTTATGGTTGCCCAACATGAAATAGCTAGCCCCAAAAAGTATGGCAATCTTAAAGTTAAAATGAGGTTTAAGCCTTTCAACAATTGGTTTTTGGAAGAACATAATTACATATAATTACGATGTTTTTCACATGAAACAAAACAAAACAATAAAAAATGAAACGCAGCAGAGATACATGCACCAAAAAGGGAAGATGCACCCAACAAAACCGCGCGAACGATGGCCATTGTTGGCCTTTGAACAACAGATTTGTTAAAATGATCTGATCAGCGGTGATCAAATGCCCCCAAGTGATGTCAACCCCGGATTCATAACCGAACCCAAGGAGGTCGGTCAATCCAAAATCGGGGACATTTTCCTACAGGTCGACGTCAAAAACAGAGAAAATCCATGTGGCAGTGTGTCAAAACCAATAGTACCCCTTTTTTGTTCACATCAAAATAGCTGGGATTTATGGATGTTCATTCCCCTAAACATGGTATTTTCATAGGTATTAACCCAACCCCATGTGACCTTGACTGAACCATGAGATTTTGGCTGTCTGGGGTACCCCACGGATTGGTGCGGAAGGGCCGTGGCTGCTTCAGCGGCCTGAAAAAAGGAGGTAGCCTTGTCAAAGGGGGGGTTCTGTGGTGTGCATTTCCATATGTTCTATATATATAACTATATATATATATGTATATATATATATGTATATAATTTTATATATATATGTATATAATTATATATATATAATTATGTATATAATTATGTATATAATTATGTATATAATTATGTATATAATTATGTATATATATATATAATCCCCGAAAAAAAAGAAAAGTAAAATCCTACCAGAACAGTGATGAAATGTTTTTAATACCTTTTGGGGGTGGTACTCTATATAGTATGTACATACATGTATGATGTACATGTATGTATCAGTAGTATAATGGGTACAAATGATATATACATATATCATGTATATATATAACATATTATTCTATGTACATTGTGTAGACATTGTATAAACATCTGCATGATGACCAATGAAAATGGGGATATGAACCAACGAACATGGAAATGTGATCTCTCTATGTATATGTATATATATGGAAATATGATATATATATATATAGTTTACTGATAATTGAAATCACCAAGGAAGCACCATAGAAGGGAAAATAAAGGGAATGTTCAGCCATTTTTTACAGATGATTTAGCAGCCTGGAAAATGGGAGTGAAAAACAGCTAAAAGTCACTTTCCATGAGATCTTCCTGGAACCAAACCAGGATATCTTTCAGTTCTAATCCAGCTCCCATTTCAAACCCAAAAAAACACATCATAGAAGAACCTGGGGTTATGTATATCCTGTGGAAAATTCTATGTATATCTAAATATATATATATATCAATTATACATTATACTATATATATATGAGTGTGTCTGGAAAATTTAAACCCAAAAATATGGCAACTTAAATGGTGCAAAAGATGAGAATAATCTATTGGAATTGGGACCTTCCCTATTTTTAGACAAACCCGTGTATGGCTGCTTGGAAAATACGTGAAGCTACCCAATTCATAGATCAAATTCCGCTTGAAACGAGGGAGTTTCCTCCACCAAAAACGTACCCGGGCTTCTTTTCACCTGGAGACTCGAAGATGAAGTTTCGTACATTGATACCATATATTAATATCAATAGTATTATTATATGAGTATTGTTACATATACATATACGTATTATTCACAAACGCATATTATGCAACTGTCATTGAATGTTTGGACTCCTTTTGGTGCAATCTTTCCAGGCTCCCAAGAGTTCCTGACAACAAACCAGCGTGTTTTCTGTGCATCTATTTGAACCACAAAAAAAGGCTTCAAAATTCTGTGTGTGTGATTGTGTGTATATGTGTGTATATATATGTATTATATTATATTATATATATATATATTATACATGTATATATATTTTTTTTTATTATAGTGTGTTATATGTATATCCCATTCTATTCCCATTAAGATCCAATTAAACCACCGATCTGATTGATATCTGAAAATGGGCCGAAATCCCGTCTGGATAGCCTCATCAAACCCACCAAATCTGGCTGAAATGTACTTTTAGTAACCCCCAAAAAGAATACCCTCTTGTTATTTAACATAGCCATGGAAAATGGTCCATTTATAGTTGATTTTCCCATTAAAACCTCCATTTATAAGGGAGTTTCCATGGCTATGTTAAATAACCAAATGGTAGAGATGTAAAATGCCATTAACATAGTGGTAAGTGACTTACTATCTCGGGGGTTACTGTAATATTTCAACAACAACAGTTCACCGACCTGATTTTGAGATTCACCCAGTCCCAACCATCAACCATAGTATCAATCCGTGCAATGATTTACCTTCCGGTCACTTCACATATCTGGCAAACCCACCATTTGTAATGTGGTTAAACTAATAATAAACATTAATAAACCATCCCAGTGTTGATGGTTTACATCACCCATTTATGGTGAAATTGGGGATGGCTTATTGTTGTTTTAACCACATTAGATCATTTTCGCTGGGAAACCAGCGAAAGTTCAGCACTGGAAGAAACCCCTCAGATGCAAGGGTCGTGAAGTGTCCACGTGTCCACCGAGACGCGGATAGCTGTAGCTGACAAAGACGTTGGCACCACGCTCCGTTAGCCTGCATGGAACAAAAAGGGGGAACGAATGGACACATAAATATATCAGAAACTGTTCTTGTTCTGCAACGTAGCCATGAGTCGAATTCAAAAGGTGCAACTGCTGAAAATTTTGGCGAAAATGGGCTGCCATTTTTTTGTTTGTATGTCTAATCCTGGTACGGTTCGATTCACTAGTTCAAAAAATCTATTTTTGTTTGGTTCTCATCGAATTCGGGGTTTTGAGGGGATGAAACATGGTCATCGTATATCCCACCTCTATTTGGAATCCTTCTATTGGCCATGAGACAATTCTCGATTCATGCTGGTATGACCATTCCCCAATATGTACAGTAGGATCCAACTTTTGACCACGGCACACGTGCACAGTGCTGTCTTGAAGAAGTATATATATATATAATTATATATATACTGTAAATATATGTATATATATATATCACTGGATAATGAACCTCCAAAATCATACAACCACTTCCCAAAACACCCTGCCCATCAGTGCCTCACCGAGCGGATTTCAATCGAGAAACGCCAGTGCCTCACAACGTGCCGGGAGAGCAGAGATACGGTGGGAACCTGAAGAGTCACCTCTTTGTCTTTTCGGAAATCAGGTATATTCAGCCACAACAAATGGGGTAGAAGATGGTAAAAGAATCAACAGCACTTGGAAGTTTAAGCTATTTGCAGGTCTATAGTCTATAGATTTTGTTATGGTGTTTTATCTTGAACAGAAGATCTACTTCAATGGTCTCCCCGATGGAGAATCCCAACCAATGGTGCTCTGCAAGAATTTTAAAACCTCATCCATTCATGTGGTCGAGAAACTTAATTCGTAGCTACTAGTGGTTTCAACCCATCCCAAAACTATTACATAGTCAATTTGGATAATTATCCCACTTAGGATGGAACATTAAACAAAAATGTGAAACCACCAACCAGTACTAATGCTGTTACTATGGTAAACCCAAGGCCATAAACCTACAATTTGGGGATGGTAAGCGTACCACCCATCAAGATGGTGATGATTTGGGGATGGTTTATGGCATTAGGTTTACCACATGATCATCCATTTTTCATGTGTCTTGATCCTCACCCATAAGTTCATGGTTTATACATCCATTAAGTTTATTTATCTGGGTAAATGTCAATGTTTACCACCCATCTGAAGTAAGGCTAGGAAAATCCGGATAGAAAAAACAGTTATTTTTGATGGTTTATCCCTAAATATACCATTTTAGGATAGTTATATATCCTTAACCACCCCTTAAGCATCATTCCGGTGAGATCGAGGTCGGTAATGGATAGCAACAGGGCAGCTGCTCCGGCGCCTGGGCCCCACAGCCAGCAGCCGTGCACCTTGAGCGAGCTCGACTTTGGAGGAACCAAGACGATAATCGGAAAATCAACATTTATATATATATAAGTGATGATGTTTGTGATGATTTTGATGATGACTATTATCATTATGATGATAATGATGGTGATAATGATTATTATGATGATTGTGATGATGGTTATTGTGATGATGATTATGAGGATGATGATATTGATGAGGATGATGGCGATGATGATGATGATGATGATGATACTGATGAGGATGATGGCGATGGTGATGATGATGATGATGATGAGGATGAGGATGAGGATGAGTTTGATGATCATGATGATGATGATGATGATGATGGTGATGGTGATTATGGTGATGATGATGATGATGATGATGATGATGATTGTATGATGGTGATGATTTTATGATGGTTTTATGATGGTTTTATCATGGTCATGATGATTATGATGATGATGGTGGTGATGATGATGATGATGGTGGTGATGATGGTGATCATGGTGGTGATGATGATGATGATGATTTTATTAAGATTGTGATGATAATAATGATAATGAGTTGGATGATGATGATGATGATGATGACGACGATGGTGATTGTGGTGATGATGATGATGATGATTTTATTACGATGGTGATGATAATGATGATGATGATGATGATGATGATGATGATGATGATGATGATGATGATGATGGCGATGATGGTGGTGACGATGACGATGATGATGTTGTTGATGATGATGATGTTGTTGTTGATGATGATGGTGATGGTGATGATGATGATGATTACACTGTCGTCATTATATGAATATGTTTGTATCATAGCTTTCTATATATATAATGATTATGCTAACAGAGGATTATTCTCATCAAAATATGATTCTAGTCTTATCATTATAGTGAAAACCTTATAACAATTGCAGTTATAAAACATGTTGAGAGGTTTGTTCACCAGTACCCTGATGATTTGGAGGTAACTGTGAAAATTGTAGGAATAGATGATAGGAATGAAATGGAATAAATCTTGCCATCAGCGCGGTCTCCGTCAGAAGATCAAGTAAAGGAATGCATGATTCGAAACTTGGGAATTGCACGTCACAAATATATAATACATGATAAAACACGTTGGCAAGCAGAGAAACTTGTACGTGGACGTGTACCCAAATTTCCCTCTTGGAGGTAGCCCTAAAACATGGAGATATGTTTTTTGGCAATAAACTCGCTACAACAATCTTCAACAAAATTCTGACAGAATCGTGGCACCTTCGTTTGACCATTCCTTCATTTGCTTGATTTTGCAAATCGAAAAAAAAGGAAAACAGGGATTCTCAGAACCAAAAAAACTTGGTGTTTCCTGTAGAGTCGTAGAGATTCCTGTTGATTAGACCCTTGCATCATGTCTTCATGGCCATGATCCCGGCCTCTGTCCCAAATGTCCAAATCCTTCGGAGCTTCACGGGGGGCCTTGGGGAAACTCAAGTGCTCAAAAGCAGAAAGGTGCCCTGCAGAGGAATCTTGAAGGCAATGGATACAAGTATAGATCTATAGAAATATATCTGGTTGGTGGTTTCAACCCCTCTGGAAAATATTAGTCAGTTGGGATGATTATTCCCAATATACGGAAAAATAAAAAATGTTCCAAACCACCAACCAGATATCATAGACGCATTATCATGTCTGTATGAACTATTGCACTCTGAAAAAAAAACTATATTGTACAAACATGTTGAATCTGAACCAAACAGCATGAAGTTTCACCAGTAGTAACATTATGCAACATTACATTTATTCAACAAATATGGAATTCGCCAAGCAACATAATCTATTGACCCACCTGAAATGAGGCTTGAAGAAACGTATATCTGAGATTCAAGCAAAGCAACAAACAATGGAAATCAAAACTACAGCCTGGTGGCATCTCATTACGGTCCTGAGACTGGCACGGTCTGGTTGCGACTGATGGTTGCCAGAAATGGAAACCCTGAGCACAGTCTGCAGGTTGGTTGTCACAATACAAGTACCAACGACTATTTGGATTCACAAGGAGGATTAAGGAGGTGCCCAAGTGTTTTAGCATGTTTTAGTTAAGTAAAGAAAAACTGTTGACTATTGGAGGAAAAAAAATAGGTTCACCCTTACTCTCCACACTGGAAAAAATAAACTTAAGACACTGGAAAACAACTTCTGAATCTGTACTTTGAGCGTTTTTTGCAGCTGAAATCTCTTGTTTGCATGGTTTTGGAATTAAATATGCAATTTGCATGGTATTTAAGGCGTTTTGGCCTTGAATCCCTTGTTTGCACCGTGCTCGCAGCATCTTGGAGCTAGCATCTGTAATACGCAGGGGATTATCTGCAGTATTTCGTGGTATTTGCAAAATATATAAAATTGTCTAGAGTTAGTTTAAGATGTTTTTAAGGTCTATTTCAGGTTGGTTTAGGGTGTATTTGGGTTTTTTTCTGGTTGATTTTAGGGTTTCTGTACGGTTAGTTTGGGCGTGTGTTTTTTAAACTGTTTTACGGTTTAGATTTGGTTGCTTTTGTTTTTTTTTAGGGTTTCTTGTAAGGTTTACTTCGGTTTGTGCTCTATAGTGTCGATTTGGGGTTGGTTTGGTGTTTATTTGGCGTCGACTTAAAGTTGTTGTAGTGTGAATTTAGTGCTGGTTTGGTGCTTCTTTCCGATTGATTGCTTTAGGGTCTATTGAATGTTGGTTTAGATTTTGTTTAGTGGTAGTTTTAAAGTCTATTTTGGTTTTTGTTGTGTAGTGCATGGGTTTCTTTAGTGCTGGTTTAGGGCTTAATTTTGTGGTTTATTTAGGCTTTGCTGAGGGTTTATTCTTGGTTGTTTTGGTGTTTCTTTATGTTAACGTTTGTGTTATGTAGTGCCGATTTATGGTTGGTTTGGTGTTTGTTTGATTTAGTTTCAAGGTTTGTTTAGTTTTGGTTTAGGTTTTTAGGGGTCATTTTAGGACTTAGTTGGAGTCGTTTGGATGTTTTTTGGTGCTTCTTTCAGTTCGTTCTAGGGATGTTTATGTAGGACGGTTGGTTTAGGTTTTATTGAGGGTTGGCTTGCGGCCTATTCAAGGTTGCTTTCGGGCTTATACCGGAGATCAAAGGATGAGGAGGGTAACGGACCATGATGAGGAGGGTAAAGGACCAGGGGATCAAGAGGACCCAGGGGCCAAAGGACCAAGGGACGAGGGGACCAGGGGACCAGAGGACCACAGGATCAGGGGAACCTTAAATGAGGTACCGGCGCTGATAGCGGACCCGGTGTGTTTAATGATTTTTGTTTGAACCATTCTTCATTGATGTGTTTAAAACTGTGGCGCCGTGACGATTTTGTTGTTTTGCCTTGAATTAGAAATGGTGTTTTTGTCACACGTTACGCTAGGAATTTATTCATTGATCATTGAATTCTATTGGGCTAAATAATTTGCAAATGTGGATTTGGAAAACGGAAGGAAAGACGGCGTTTCGTCCTCTTCTTTTTCTCCCTTCATGGGTTCAGCGTCTGCGTTTGTTAACCTTAGCTGCCAGTTTGGCGAGACTTCCTTTCAAGCCTGCCTTGTGGTTCCAACAATAGGCGAAGGATCACACATACTGTTGGATTCTTTGAGAATCCTTTTTGGTAACCTTGTCTTTGCTATGGACGGAGAAGGGCACAAAGCGCTTCAGTTGGCACCAGATCTGGTTTAGAAATTTCATGGGTCCGATGTAGGGTAAGCAAATTGATGTGAAACTCTCAATTCTCAAATGTCAACGTTACACGCCTTACTTTACTCACCTGAAAATAGAAACACAAGAGACATGTTACAGCGTAGCATCAAGAGAATGTGGCAAGTGACAAGAGACATGTTACAGCGTAGCATCAAGAGAATGTGGCAAGTGACAAGAGACATGTTACAGCGTAGCATCAAGAGAATGTGGCAAGTGACAAGAGACATGATACAGCGTAGCACCAAGAGAATGCGGCAAGTGACAAGAGACATGTTACAGCGTAGCACCAAGAGAATGCGGCAAGTGACAAGAGACATGTTACAGCGCAGCATCAAGAGAATGTGGCAAGTGGCGAGAGACATGTTACAGCGTAGCACCAAGAGCGTGCGGCAAGTGACAAGAGACATGTTGCAGCGCAGCATCAAGAGCGTGTGGCAAGTGGCGAGAGACATGTTGCAGCGCAGCATCAAGAGCGTGTGTCCAGTGACAAGAGACATGTTGCAGCGCAGCATCAAGAGCGTGTGGCAAGTGGCGAGAGACATGTTACAGCGTAGCATCAAGAGCGTGTGGCCAGTGACAAGAGACATGTTGCAGCGTAGCATCAAGAGCGTGTGGCCAGTGACAAGAGACATGTTACAGTGTACCCCTTCCCCCCAACCCCCACCCCCCCCACCCCACCCAGTTCCCCAAGAAAATCACACTATCCTTCGTGCAAAACTTCTAACTGACGCGCACAACTTCTAACGGACGCGCGCCACTTCTAACTGACGTGCACAACTTCTAACTTACTGGCACAACTTCTATAACTGACGTGCGCAACTTCTAACTGACGTGCGCAACTTCTAACTGACGCGCGCAACTTCTGACTGACGGTCACAACTTCTAACTGACGCGCGCAACTTCGAACTGACGCGCGCAACTTCTAACTGCCATGTGACAGCAAAAAACAGCAAAACCTGCGGGTCCGTTAACAGCGCCGGTAGCTTAAAGGATTGTTCCAGTAATTAATCAGTGTTATATCATGCTATATCATGCTATATCTTTGCTCCAGGATCCTAGATTTTTTCCAGGAAATTTAGTTCCTTTTTTCCAGTATCACCCCCTTCAACTAGGTTCACTAGGGTTTATGGTGATTGTAAGTATGGTAAACAAACTGATAAGTAGGCGGGGCACCTTGCAAGGGCGTGATTAATCTTGGAGAAACAATGAAGCTAGTGGCCTGCCCAACCGAGGTTTACCCATTAGGAAGTTGAACTGTGGAGAACTTAGTTGGGACATAAACCGGCTATTCCATGAAGGACATCCACTGGCCAGGAGCTGAAAGTTGTCCGACTTTCGGAGAGTTACCCCCTACATTCACCATCATGTCTATTGACGTCGTGATATTTCATCCAAATAATAAAAATCCTCATTACATACGTTATATAGTTATATATATATATATACATTATATATAAACCCATTCTACCACCATTTTTCTTGGATAAATCATGTTAGATCCTCACCAGGTCCAACTTTCCATGGGTGAGGCACCTCCTTGAAAGGACATCACTGGAGCACTTCGAACCTGGAAAAGGACAGGCAGTCTCCAAGTTCTCTTCCTTTTTTAGAGCGCTCGGAAAAATGGGATTGAAGATGATTGTTGAAGTATTTAAAGTTTGCCTCAAATAAGAGTCATGTTTATCACGTTTATATACGTTTATCATGATCTAAGTACCAAGCGCTTTCGGGGCAAAGACCATACTTCCTCTGACTGACCCAAGATTGATGGCCACTTATGCTGATCAATTCCCACAAGGTAACCTATCCCTGTTCTTTCGAGTCTTGGTTGCCATAGATCGGAACTGGTGCCACTATCTCTATATATATATATATCTATCAAGATGTATATCTCAAAAATTGCCGGCCATCAAGTTGTTCAATGATTTTCAACGGCTTGTCTAAAATTCCAGTGACTGCAGTGGTTTCTCATCATTCCCCATGACAATGGCCATCACTGCTCCAAGGTGCCTCGACTGAGACATCATCGGAGCCATTGGACTCACCCAGCGTGGCGATCAAATCAGACCTAGGCAGAGCTGCAACAGGTGCCTCTCTGGTTATTTCATGTTAATCTGGTTGGTGGTTTCAACCAACCCCTCTGAAAAAATGATGGAGTTCGTCAGTTGGGATGATGACATTCCCAATATATGGAAAAATAAAATTCATGTTCCAAACCACCAATCAGAAATGGATGCTATGGAAAGTCAGCATGTTTTTTTCGGTAAATCGAAGCAATCGAAGCATCACAGACGACTTCCGAGCCACAGATCCAGGGGAATCTCCAAGTTGGACCTCAGAAGGGCGAAATCTTCGGCTTTTGCTGCGAAATTCTAGTGGATATACTGGTTAATTATAGTGATATATATATATATATACACCTGGTATTACAGTTTCAACATGATATTTCTATATATTTCTATGGTATATTTGTTCAGCATTTACCCGCAAAATGGGCCAGATGGAGCTCAAGATACCTGTTTCAGCATTTCGACGTTTTTTAAGTCATGGGGATGACCCCAATCCAAGTCATGGATGACCATGACTTATTATTGAAAGCCATGGTTACTTGGGGATGTCCCATTCCAAGAACCCCCCCCCGTAATCCCCATATATACGCGGTATGATCGTTTCATGATATTTCTACTGCAGGACGTCGAAAAAAGTTCTGCAACCAGCATCTTTTCCGGTGCCCATAATCCCATCCATGTTGGTCGATTCCGCAACCATCGCTGGGTCCGCGACGTCTCATCCTCGAGTTGTAAGCAGACCTGCAGCTGGACCGGGGTTTTCCCAGCATGGCTGGTACAGTGTAGCTGGTATAAGCTGGATGTAGGTGATTATATACCCTGAAGTCCAATGACTCATCTTACCCATGGCAGTGATAATCCACAATTAATCCAGGAGCAAAAATAAGTCATTGGGATTGTCTGGGATATATGTATACAGTACTGATCCCCAAAACAATCTGCATGAGGAGGTCGTGGGCCACAGCCGTTGCGCAAAAAACGGCCAAGGATCTGACGTGGAGATCAGACAAAGCCTCAACGACTCGACGCTGAAGCACTAAGCACATCTAAGCACAACCAACGAAGCTATAAGTTTGCTGGTCAGTTGACAGAACCGCCGGATTTTTTTGGGGTTAACGCGGGGTAACATCCCAAAGCATGGCTGAATGGTTCCCGCAAAGGTTCACCTCGTTAAGATCTTCCCAGCTGTCCACCAAAGGAAACCTCAGCCACAGTGGGAACGGAACGTCCGAAACGTACGAAACGTAAGCCCAATCATTCACCAACAGTGGCAAGGTGATGCCCACCGCCCTAGCCATAAGTTGGTTTAGAACCACATCTGACGATATATGTATATATATACATATGTATATATATATATATGTATATATATATATACATAGTTACAATCACCATAAACCCCTTGTTGACACTAATGTATACACTAACTTAGCTAACTCTGGAGCGCCACCAGTTGGGGATGGTGTTCAAAGACAACTTTCTGGGAATGTTTACTGATGGTTTATGATTAGGCTTCCCAATCATGAGTGAACATCGAAAAACATATGTAAAGGGGGGTTCTTAAGAATGGAGGATCCCAAAATGGATGAGTTGGTGGTGACTTCCATGACTTTGGAAACCTCCATGTCACTATCACACTTCAAGAAGGCTTGTCAGGTCTTACGCTGTGTAAGCCTGGCATCCAAGCGAGCTCTTGATCGGTATCTGAGCATCATGACATTTGCAAAGTAGAAAGGGAGCAGAAAATCAACGGGAGAGTAAGTCTTACTGCCTGCGAAATATTGACCCAGTGCCACTCTCACCCAGCCATGTGTCTGTACTTCGGTGGCCCCCAGTCGATGTCTGATTGACAAACAATGGCTAACTGGCTAACTATGGTGTGATTGTGTGTGGTCCCAAATGTCCGAAACATACATGTTCATCTCACTCAGTCACTGGCAAACCACTAAAAACCCTTCCCCTGAAAGCAAGCACTTCCCTAACAACGATCGCTTGGTATTACAGTTTATAGATTTGTTCATCTTGAGTCGCAAATACAAAGACTTATCTATGATTGTCGTTGTTTCCATGCTGGGAATGGGATTCAGATGGATTCAGCATAAACGGTTGAATTCGCCCGGTGGTTTTGATGGGATGCATCAAAGACGGAACTTCTGGACAAAATTGTAAATACATAAGGATCTATAATCAGATATGTTTACATCTGATTACATATGTAACAATACATATATATATATATATATATGTATATGTATATATGGTTTATATATGATTATATATATATAGTATAAACAACTATATATATATATATTTATCATATAATTATATAATCATCTGTATAATCTCACATGTTCATAGCTCTAAAAATGTCTCGGCTTCCAAGCTGGTACACCACCGAGTCGTTGGACCTTGGGCATCCCAATTGCTGGGGGGATGGCTTTAGCCTTATGCCTGTAATATACATGTATGTATACATATATATATAGTTGTGTACAAATACTTCAAACACATACATAATATTTTTAATATGTGTATGTATGTATATATATATATGTGTGTTTCCTACAGGCCAGTAGTCTTGTATGCCTTCTGTTCAAATTTCAAGCATGTTGGTTGGAAATGGACGAAATCAAGTCGACATTAGAGCAGGTGTCATTTTTTCTTTGCTACCCCTTCTATATCCCTGCTGGTCAGCATTATCTGGTTGATGTCTTCAACCCCAGTGAAAAAGTCAATTTGAAATCCGGACTAGGAATGAAATATCTGATCTAAACTTATCTAAGCCACCTTAAATCGATCCGAATGACTTGCTTTCTCCAGGTTGTTGGTGCTTTTCATCCAATCTTTTTCTGCTTCAATGTCCATTTTCAGTTCAACTCCCGACTCCCAGGCCGCCGGCCTTGCGAGGTCCAGGCTGGTTTCAACCTCCAGCTGGGGTCAGAGGTTGAAATCAACGCACCAGGCAGGGGAACTATTAGGCACCTATGAAACACTGTAAATAATGGGAGAATGGGAAAAACCACTGTTTTCAACTGGTGCAGGATTTCGCAACCATCCACCGTCTCATGGGATATACTTGGGCTGTGGTATAACACAAAACCCAATTGTCTCTCGCGTTTCTATCTATCCCCATATATTATATATTATATCATAGTGTGCTAGAAGTTGATTACTACCCCCCCCAGTAAATTAGCATAGCGATGGACATGCACGGGTTTCCAATTCGGGCATGATCTACAAATCGTGGATTTGTCCATATTAGTCTTATAGTAACTGCAGATATAAATATATTCACGGACACTATGGTTTTGCCTAAACATTCGAATTGTACACCAAAATCATCTAAGCGGTTTTTCATTTGTATTCGGAAAACCAATGGCATATAAGATATATATATATATAGAATGAGATGTAATGTTGAAAATGATAATATATAACAGCATAAAGGTCAACAACCAAGTATGGTCTGCCCAGAAAGGGAGATCCAACAAAGCGAAACGCAGGTGAAATACCGCTATCATGTGAATACAATTGGATATGATGGGATTTAAACCAACAATGTGAGCTGGGTTTTCCCAAAACTAGGCTCCGAAATATGGCAAGTTAAGTGGGGAAACTGATGATTACTCCGTGAAAAATCTGTGGATTATATTTTTGGTATGAGCGATTCTCAAACCAAGCCATAGCCCAGATCGATTCATGGCGGGGTCCAGAACCATCTTGAATGGTAAGCAGGCAAATCCACTATCAATAGAGGTTTATAGCTGGGAATATCATCTACAAATAAGGGATTTTCCAGCAATGGTTGATTACCGGAGGGCATCTACAATGCCTGGGTGTGGGTCAAACTACAATACCTCTGAGGCCGGTTGATTGAGACCAATTCATCTTCATCGATGCCTCTTATTCCCCTGGCTCGTGATTCATGAAGACTAATCAAAGAGTACAGTAGCCCTGGCATTGAGCAACCAATCAGTCAATGATGGCAAATGGTACACATTTTTTCGGCTCCAACACTACAATATCTCTTCCACGTCAGGACATCATTAGTGTGGGGTTTTGCAACTACAAATTATTGCTGTTCAAATTACTTGTCCAGGAAATCACCGTTCAGGACTGTTGAACGTTCCACAACACCAACATATGTGCCATGGTCAAAAGATTGCATATGTGGTATTGCATGTATTATCCCACCACTGGAATCCTTATACTGGGTACGTTGACCCCTAGATACATCCACCGTAAAGGTTACGCTTACTATAGTTACAAAGCGACAGAAACCTAAACCTATCTAAGAGGGGCCTTCCTGCATCATTGCCAATCTCAAGGTGCAGACGCTGTCCAATCTCAATCGAAGTCGCTCACAGCTCCTGCATGTTACATGGCTGGTTATCTCATGGTGTGGCCACTCGGGAATGCTTCCAAAGTGACCACAGAATTCAACAGCTCACTGGTGTTTCTTTGCAGACTCAACCACGTCCTGTTTTTTCATTGAACTTTACACATCTTTTTCGTTCCACTTGAAGCCATGGAACAACACAATTTCAACATAAATATCTATGATATCTATGACTGGAAAATATCGAAAACACCAGCAGTTTTCACGGCGGACCTGTCCAAGGCCTTGTCCAACGCCGGAAGCCCTGGCCAGATCGGCGTCGATCGGGATGCCAGACGGGGATTGGGATTCATGTTCACCCAGTCGTGCTGGACGGGTTCATCCCAGCACTCCCACTCAACCTAGTTATCTATCTATATACATATATATATAATTATATATACAACTATATATATATGTTTATATACAGTATGTTTACCAACTAAACGATCATGAATATGTCTTAATAGCGTTGCCTACGTTTCAAACGGCTAAATCCTGATGTTTTTCGGGTGAACTTCCCCAGGTTCACCTTGCAGCCTGAGCAGAAAACCGTCTGAAGGCCTCGGACATCGAGCCGAGAAATCTGCAGCGACATGTCGGAACGTCATGGACGAGGATGATAATGAATGTAAATGGTGGATTAAATGAATGATAATTAGGTGGATTATAAATGGATTCAGAACATCATAAATGGACGGAATGGGATGATCATGAATGTAAATGGAAAAATCATGGTGGATTCCTCATAGATGGTCCAGGGCTGCCAGTTTTCAATAAGTGCCGAACACCAGCGATCCGGAGAGAAAAACACCCAACAGAAGACTTTGTGTTGCTCAACTGGATTTTGAATAAACCATTTGAACTTATAACATCTTATAACTATTGTCCATTAAAACATATTAAAACATATTAAAACATATTAAAACCATTTAAACTTTCCACCTATGGTCCATGGTCCACTTTTGGTGCTCCTGAAAGTTGGATCGGTGAAACAATATGCCAATATGCCAGCCCATCTATGAATGGATTGGAGCTCTGAAATAAATAAATAACCATAAATAACCAAGCCTCCAGGTGGGAATCGGTCAAAATATGTCTATCACCCTGAAAAAAAACTTTGGCTTGGGGTTCTATAAGCCATGTAGTGTACCAAATACTGCATTATTTTTTGAGCCAAGAATGACATCATCACCGTCACCATCATCATCAACATCATCATCAGCATTTTGCTGACCAAAATGCATACCCAAGTATCAAACACACCCATGTGGTGCTTCAAACATCCAAATATGTTTGGTATTATACAAATTTGGTATATGGGCATCATGTGTTACCCACAATTCCACAATACCACATGTTTCATACCTATTTGGAATTCTATCTTATATGAAATAGTTTTACTAAAATATATTCAATTTATATCCAAATTAAATATCATAAGTCTGGTCATATGTGCATATATATATATTTATATGTATATATATTTATGTATATATATATATGTATACAATTTATAATTATGCACAATAAAATAGCCACAATATCTCATGATCTCCCAGGCAAAAAACTCCATTCAGACGCTAGGCGCAACCAGCTGGGAGAGGTCAGCATCAACATCCTGGAGCAACATCTGTATGGATTTGGGGATTATTTATAGTAAAAGATTGAACAGTGATGCATCTATTCAAGAAGGATTTTATGGTTCTATCTGTTAGGGGCTTACTATACCCGCGAAAAATCGACGGTGATGTGTTTGATAAAGAAAACTGGCTGCTTTTTACAGTACATGGTATTACCATGTTTTACCACCGAATTATCCAGGTGTCTCCGCAGATATTCCGCTGAAGTAAGCGATCAAACCCACTCTACATATGGGTCCAAACATGGGGAATGGGCCCCCTGGTATGGCTAAGACTTTGGAAACTAGTAGTTTAATGAAAACATCCAACAGATTATACAACATCCAACAATGTATACCTAAAACCGGCATATTCCATAGACATTTACGAGGAACCCAAAGGAAAACAGAAAAGTAGGGTGAAGAGACTCTAAAATTTCAGAGAAAGGTTCCTTTGGCAAACCGAAATGCCTTTTCTTATCGTTTCGGGTGCCAAGTACACATGTATCTATGTGTATCTATGTACCAAGATATAGGAAGGTATAGCCTGTTTACATCTATGTGAATACATTGACATAAACTGGTTGGTGGTTTCAACTCCTCTGAAAAATATGACTTCGTCAGTTGGGATGACATGACATTCCCAATATATGGAAAGTCATAACAAAAGTTCCAGTCACCACCAACCAGTAAATATTGTTATTCCAATTATTAACCATAGATTAACCATAATAAACACTTGCCACAGAGACTCCCAGCTCCCAGTTCACCAGTTCCCAACGGATTTCGTCCCGGTTGGTCCCAACAAGTTGAACATCGTTTCATCCACCGTTGAACGGTGGTTGTGGGTCGTTTCTAACGTGTCCTCTGAAAAAGTGGGATGGCGAATGTGTAATACATAGCAATACAATTCAATACACAGGTATACCCATTGGCATACCGATAACACCAAGTTTATTTTTTGGCATTTCCTAAAATGGGGAAATTAGCTTTTTGTTCATTATAAACCATCCATTTTGGGGTATTCCCATTTCTGGAAACCCCCATGTGTAATTTCAAATAGGGTCAAAGCGTGACACAAACCCGGTTGGCCAGTCCATATCTCTATCTTGTGGTGAAACTCGAATTTAGTCCGATCTTTACTTGTAGGTGATGTTCCCGTTTCTTCAAGGCGGTTTTCTTCGATGCAAAGAACAATCTACTCTTCGGCTATGCAGTAAATCCGGGATACTTAGTTTTGTGACAGAACACGTTTTAAAAGGGCTGTAAATTAAGTTAATAATAATAACAATATATATATAATATGAATATATATATATAAGTGTATATCATATATCCCCATTAAAAACTGGATAGAAAAACATCAAAGTCAGCTTAGCCAGTTGAACTGACTGTCTCCTCATGTCATTGAAGCTGGTATATCCCGCATAGTAATGGTTGGTACAGTGATGCTTAGTAACCTTCAAGCCTTCAAAAAGCTTGGGACCCTATCTGTTGTCCCAGATTAACATAGATTAACATAGATTAACATAGATTAACATAGATTAACATAGATTAACATAGATTAACATAGATTAACATAGATTAACATAGATTAACTACTTTCTGTTGGATTTTTTTCTCCTACCCCAATTCGAAACACCCCATATTTCGACGCTGATTCTTCAAATCTTCCCCGCCTCTGGCGGTTCCCTTAGGTCGAACAGCTGCAAGCAGATCGTCAGCGTCCCTGTCGAATCGCCAGGACGTAGATTCAGAGTTTTTGAGTTTGGGAAAAAGAAATGATATTTTTCTGGCAGAAAACTCTGAATCATTTTGAGTGCATCATTTTTGCGTTATTTGGCAGAAATGATATTTTTCTTGCTGTTAGAGGGTGGAAGCATCGAAGATCCGCCAAAATAAACACCGGGACTATAGCCTGAAGGATAAGGATGTGTTGAGTGGTTTACAGCACCTCCAAGAAAGATAGAAAAGCAAAATCCGATTAAGAGGGCAATAACTTTTTGGGGGATTACCATGTTTCTCAGGTTTGAAATGTCACCGTTCCTGTGCTAGTTGAAACCACAAAACCTTCCTATAGATTACATTTCCCTCATAGGCAAGTATGGTTTATATAGCAACCCAAGCCATGCCGAAAAGTTGGAAACCTAGAAGGTATAGGAGAAACATATAGAAACATTATCTTTTCATATCCTGGAAAAAATAGCTCCTTTGGCAGCAGGCTCCTTTTGGCAGCGCCACACAGGCACGCATCACTGCACAAGGCACGCAGAGGCACCTGACATGGCTGTGGTTTTCAAGCTGTGACAATGGGGCATTGGCCGGCAATGGCCCCATAAAATAATGGTTTCAAGATGGAACATGATTCTCTGTCATGAGTCATGTGTCTGGATTTCCACCAGATTTTCAGACAAACCCAAGTGATCGGATGAACTTGGTTGTCCCTGTTGCCCGGGACCAGCCCGGAAGACAAATTGCTGTTCACCAATGGAACCCTCAAACATGACCCAATCTCCAGGTGCAGAAACTGGAGCTACTTGCAGGATCATGCCAGTGTACAACTGGTTGATATCCCTGCCATTTGGCAGTCCCTAAACCTGGGAAATCCCACGTAGAATTGGGTTGTAAACACGAGCTACAAGTAAATATTGACCAAATTATCCTCCGTCCAACATGGTAAACCCAACAATATTCCTCCATTCTTCATGGTCTGTTTTTAAGACCATGGTAAAATTGCGTGAGCTTCGGTGTGATTTTACAGTTTTTGAGGGTTTACCCAACTAAGCATCAATTATTGGATGATTTCCCCCTGTTCTACTGGTGAAGCCCCAATTCTTCTTGGTAAAGACAATCTAAAGAGTTGTACTCCATCGTCCTAATATTGGCGCTCAAGAATGAAGGGGGTTACATGTTGAACATCTTAGGATTTTGAGATTTCAAAACCATTTTGAGCCCAAGAAAAAAATATAATAACCCAATAAAATAGAATACACCCCAAAATCAACATCAACATACATCAATACTATGGCAACCACGGTTCCTTGATGGCAAAGGCCACCCCAAGGACCCCCAAGGCGCCTGGATATCCTGGATTGGCGACAGGGCCCGCCAGCTGCAAAGCTCTTGGGACGTGAAGTCGCATGACCTCTACCTCTTTCCCTGTACCTTGGACAAGTGGGGAGGCTTTTGCAAACCAAAATGGAGATGCAAACAACAACGCATTGTCAATCAATGTTAATAACTGCCAATAACCATAAACAAAAAAAAAATCGTTGCACTATGTTGCGCCTGAACATGTCAATGATAACGAGAAAGGATACGCAAAAGAATGGAAAGCATGGGTATGTCAGCTCAAGTCCACGAGTCCACAGGGGCAGGAAAGTACAGTGGGTGTGCCATTCAGGTGTTGTGCATTCCCAAATGGATCAAAAATGGTGCTGGAGATGTTGGGTAGATCGTGGTAATAAATTGGGTTCTGGTGATACAAATCCCCAGCTGTGGCCGCCCCAACTTGTATCCCCTTCTGGTTGAGGAATTCCCGTGAGGGGATGGGACGCTGGCAACATATTTCTTGAAGCATCTCTGTCGAGATCCAACGAGTTTGAAATCAAAAGGTATCCAAAAGTTCTACAACCTGAAGCATAGACTTGGCAACTCTCAAGCCAATCCAGTGCCACCTTCCAAATTTCCAGGCAAGTTTTCTGAGACTCACCTGCGCCGGCCCACGTCATACCTCCGGTAGAAAGTAACAGTAAATGTCATGGTGATTACGTTCCTTTCTTATCATTCACGGCGCCATTGGCCATATCACGTTGTTTTCCGCACTTTGTTTGATTTGCCATGATTTACCCAGTTTTATAGCTACTGAACAAATAATTTCCTCTTGTCAGATACCAAACACGGGTTTTGTGCAGCCGTCATTGCGATTTATTTGTGACTGAAAAATATGGGTTTGACTGAATATGTTGGGAATACAACTAAAAAATTCATGGCAACTATTTCATGGTGTCTATCCTGATGTTCTTCATGTTTAAACGAAATCCATGGAAATCCCCAAAAAACAAATGCAATTGAGAAAATCATGTTCTCTACCACTAATGTTAAAACTGTTTTTCTCCATTTTGAATGGTCATGACTTGGGGTATCCCATTTCTGGCCAACCTAAATCCATTTCTCATTCATACATTCGATTCTTGCGTTTGCTGGTTAAATTCCTGTGTTTGTTTGTCAAACGCGGTTTCTTGGCTCATTGGCTCCTAAATCCACACCAAAATGATCCCAAATGAAATATGACCCTATCCCATCCCATTCTACTGCTTGATTATATATATATATATATGTATATATATGTATATATATATATATGTATATATATGTATATATATATATATATATGTATATATATGTATATATATGTATATATATGTATATATATATATGTATATATATATATATGTATATATATATAGTAAATATTCCCATTTTGTTTTGCAATACGCCAGTGTAATGATTCCTACAATTTCTTACAGTACATGAACACATATCTCATCAAAGGAAGTTGGGAAGCAATACTTCCGTGTTACGGACAAATAGAATTGTGAGACTTGACATTGATGAAGGGTGGTGTGTGTGTGTGTCTGACAAATAGAATTGTGAGACTTGACATTGATGAAGGGTGGTGTGTGTCTTTTGCATTACACAACAAGACGTCACAAAGAATAATCAAAGGAAGTTGGGAAGCAATCTTCCGAGTTACGGATGACTTTTACCTGTAACAATACACTCAATAAAGGGTGGTGTGGAAACTTTACATCACATCAGAATACACTTAATGAAGGGTGGTGTGAGACTTTGGTGTGAGACTTTACATCAAATAAGAATACACTCAGTCACTCAATGAAGGGTGGTGTGAGACTTTGGTGTGAGACTTTGCATCACTTAAGAATACATTCAATGAAGGGTGGTGTGAGACTTTGGTGTGAGACTTTCAATCACATAAGAATACACTCAATGAAGTGAGACTTTACATCAGGGGTGACCTAGGGTTTGGGGAGGAAGCCGGACCACGAAACCGTGTGTTTTCCATGTAAAGTGGTTGAAGCCGGCGATGACAGGTACCTCCTGTGTGCGGCGGGTGCGGCTGCGGTCGGCTTGCCTCTTTTTTTTGCCGCATTGTAACGGTGGCTTCTAGCTGCTTTGGGTGTGCTTGTGCGTGCGTAGTTACAGGGTGTTTTGGAATCTGCGGCTGCAGATCGCATTGGAATGGCTGCATGATTGCTGTCATCTGGTGTTGCCATGTGCGTAGATACGTGCAGGTTTGCGACGTGATGCTGCAAACGCATTGTAATGGCTGCATGACTGTTGCATGGGCTTTGTCGGCTTTGTTTTGGGGAGGAAGCCGGAGCACAAAACCTTGTGTTTTTCCGTGTAAAGTGGTTGCAGGCGGCGATGAAAGGTACCTCCTGTGTGCGGCGGGTGCGGCTGCGGTCGGCTTGCCTTTTTTTTGCCACATTGTAACGGTGGCTTCAAGCTGCTTTGGGTGTTCTTGTGCGTGCTTAGTTACAGGGTGTTTTGGAATCTGTGGGTGCAGATCGCAGTGGAATGGCTACATGATTGTTGTCATCTGGTGTTGCCATGTGTGTAGATACATGCGGGTTAGCCACGTGATGCTGCAAAACGCATTGTAATGGCTGCATGAATGTTGCATGGGCTTTGTCGGCTTTGTTTTGGGGAGGAAGCCGGAGAACGAAACCGTGTGTTTTTTCGTGTAAAGTGGTTGCAGGCGGCGATGAAAGGTACCTCCTGTGTGTGGCGGGTGCGGCTGCGGTCGGCTTGCCTTTTTTTTGCCGCATTGTAACGGTGGCTTCTAGCTGCTTTGGGTGTGCTTGTGCGTGCGTAGTTACAGGGTGTTTTGGAATCTGCGGCTGCAGATCGCATTGGAATGGCTGCATGATTGCTGTCATCTGGTGTCGCCATGTGCGTAGATACGTGCAGGTTTGCGACGTGATGATGCTGCGAAACACATTGTAATGGCTGCATGACTGTTGCATGGGCTTTGTCGGCTTTGTTTTGGGGAGGAAGCCGGAGCACAAAACCATGTGTTTTTCCGTGTAAAGTGGCTGCAGTCGGCGATGAAAGGTACCTCCTGTGTGCGGCGGGTGCGGCTGCGGTCGGCTTGCCTTTTTTTTGCCGCACTGTAACGGTGGCTTCAAGCTGCTTTGGGTGTGCTTGTGCGTGCGTATTTACACGGTGTTTTGGAATCTGTGGGTGCAGATCGCAGTGGAATGGCTACATGATTGTTGTCATCTGGTGTTGCCATGTGTGTAGATACATGCGGGTTAGCCACGTGATGCTGCAAAACGCATTGTAATGGCTGCATGAATGTTGCATGGGCTTTGTCGGCTTTGTTTTGGGGAGGAAGCCGGAGCACAAAACCTTGTGTTTTTCCGTGTAAAGTCGTTGCAGGCGGCGATGAAAGGTAGCTCCTGTGTGCGGCGGGTGCGGCTGCGGTCGGCTTGCCTCTTTTTTTTGCCGCACTGTAACGGTGGCACAGAGTAGCTTTGGATGTGCTTGTGCGTGAGTATTTACAGGGTGTTTTGGAATCTGTGGTTGCAGATCGCAGTGGAATGGCTACATGATTGTTGTCATCTGGTGTTGCCATGTGTGTAGATACATTACATGCGGGTTAGCCACGTGATGCTGCAAAACGCATTGTAATGGCTGCATGAATGTTGCATGGGCTTTGTCAGCTTTGTTTTGGGGAGGAAGCCGGAGCACAAAACCATGCGTTTTTCCATGTAAAGTGGCCGCAGGCGGCGATGAAAGGTACCTGTGCGGCGGGTGCGGCTGCGGTCGGTTTGCCTTTTTTTGCCGCACTGTAACGGTGGCACAGAGTAGCTTTGGGTGTGCTTCTGCGTGAGTATTTACAGGGTGTTTTGGAATCTGTGGTTGCAGATCGCAGTGGAATGGCTACATGATTGTTGTCATCTGGTGTTGCCATGTGTGTAGATACATGCCGGTTAGCCACGTGATGCTGCAAAACGCATTGTAATGGCTGCATGAATGTTGCATGGGCTTTGTCGGCTTTGTTTTGGGGAGGAAGCCGGAGCACAAAACCTTGTGTTTTTCCGTGTAAAGTGGTTGCAGCCGGCGATGAAAGGTACCTCCTGTGTGCGGCGGGTGCGGCTGTGGTCGTTTTGCCTTTTTTTTTGCCGCACTGTAACGGTGGCACAGAGTAGCTTTGGGTGTGCTTGTGCGTGCGTATTTACAGGGTGTTTTGGAATCTGCGGGTGCAGATCGCAGTGGAATGTCTACATGATTGTTGTTATCTGGTGTTGCCATGTGTGTAGATACATGCGGGTTAGCCACGTGATGCTGCAAAACGCATTGTATTGGCTGCATGAATGTTGCATGGGCTTGCTACGGGATGCCGCGAAACGCATTGTAATGACTGCGTCAAGTTTGCTTGGCGCCGCGGCTGCATGCGTAATAATTACTACAGTCTTTTGCAGCTGGAGATCGTAAATCATATTGGAGTGGCTGCATCAAGGCTGCGACAGTGATTTGTCAGCAGATTTTCTCAATTTTGGCGCTAGTAATTTTCCTTGTAAAAGTCATTTTGAAAACTGCTTCAAAATCGCGTTTTTTTTGCTTTGGCGCCGAGATCCGGCTTTGGAGCTGCAATTCCTGTTGTGATTATGTACAAGAAAGCTTCTCTGTGTAAAAAACTTGTTTCTGTAAAAGCTTGCTGTGTGTAAGAGATGTTGTGGGTAAAAGCTTGCTGTGTGTAAAACTTCTCTGTGTGCAAAAGCTTCTCTGTGTAAAAGCTTCTGTGTGTTTAAACGCTTGCCATTTGTAAAAGCACAGTGTGTAAGTGTTCTGTGTAAACGCTTGCTGTGTGTAAAAGCTTCTCTGTGTAAAAGCTTGTTGTGTGTAAAAGCTTCTGTGTGTAAAAGCTTCTCTGTTTAAAAAGCTTGCTGTGTGTAAAAGCTTCTCTGCGAAAGAACTTGCTGTGTGTAAAAGCTTTCTTTGTGCACGCTTTGTATCACAAAGTAGTACTGGGACGTACTTTGTGCAAGGTCGGTAATACAAAGTAGTACTGGGAAGTGTTTTGCGCAAGCTTCGTAGTACAAAGTAGTACTGGGAAGTGCTTGTGCAAGCTTTGCAGTACAAAGTAGTACTGGAACGTGCTTTTTGCAAGCTTTGTAGTACAAAGTAGTACTGGGAAGTGCTTGTGCAAGCTTTGCAGTACAAAGTAGTACTGGGAAGTGCTTTGTGCAAGCTTTGTAGTACAAAGTATTTTGGAAAGACTCTTCTGTGTAAATGCATCTGTGTCTCAAGCTTTCTGACGTGCAGAAGAGCCGAGATGAGTTGAGACTAGCTTCGGTGAGATGAGAAAGGTCGAGCTGCGCTCCGATGACATGAAAATAGCCAAGAAGAACTTAGCTGACATATGGGAAGACATGAACTGAGATGAGAAGAGCTCAGATGAGATGAGTTGAGATGAAGTGCAAGTGTGAAGTGTGGAGCGTGGGGTGTGAAGAGTGCAATGTGAAGTGTGAGGAAAGTGCTTGCTTGACGTTGCATTGCACCGGGGTCGCGCGCAGGTCATGTTCTTGGACAGCAACACTGCAACAGCTTCGCACAAAGCACGCACGCACGGGCCTGGCTGGCGCACAGCGCATGCAAGTTCTCGAAGTAGTACTGGGAAGTGATTCATGAAAGCTTAGATGACATATGAGAAGAGACGAGATGAGAAGAGATGAGCTAGGATAAGGTGAGAAGAGCTCAGATGAGATGAAGTGTGGAGTGTGAAGAGTGCAGTGTGAAGGGTGGGGCGTGAAGAGTGCAGTGTGAAGTGTGGAGTGTGAAGTGTGAAGTGTGGAGTCTGAAGAATGCAGTGAGAAGTGAAAAGTGTGAAGAGTGGACTGTGAAGTGTGGAGTGTGAAGCGTGGAGTCTTAAGAGTGCAGTGTGAAGTGAAATGTGGAGTGCGAAGAGTGCAGTGTGAAGTGTGAAGTGTGGGAATGCTCGCACGCACGGGCTTGGCTGGCGCACGGCGCATGCAAGTTCTATAGATGAGACATGTCTTATATATCCCTAAGGCAACTTCCGCCCCGCCTCGTGCGGATACTACTGGTATATCTATATACATATGGGAGGTTTCCTAAAATTGGGGTATCCCCCATTTATGGAAACAACAATGAAATGGTATTTCAATGACCCGGATTTCCCACAGATCTCACCTGGACCTCTATTCAGTTGTCCAATCACCTCACTTGATCCCACCAGTGGTAGCAGCAACACGGCCGCCGAATGCTGCCTTCGCCGGCTGCAAGAATCACCGGTGCTTTTTTTCCCTTAAGGTTAAAAAACCTCTGGACTCATGTGTAGAATTTGTGCAATGTTGTGTATTCATGCATAGAAGAACCTTTTAAAGGAAAAAGGGATGGTATTTGTTGTGACACGCTTACAGTACCACCATTTGGGGATATGGTTTGTGGCGAGGGGTCTGAAACACAATTGTTTGCATGTAAATTGCCACGTTGAGATTCCACATTACATCGTGGGGGTGCATGCAAATCTTTTTCTTTGGGATTTGCAGATCCCTAAGAAAACAAACACCATGAGGGTTGCCTGCTTCCAGCTGCATCTGGAAATCAGCTGCAGATGATGGATGTTGTGTCGCGATGGAGATGGGGATGGGTCAAAATTTGGGAATCAAATTTGAATGATACAGCAACCGCAATTAGACCAAAAAACGCACGCAAACTTACCTCACGTTCAATAACATTACTTCGTCAAAAATGACCAAGTATGTGGTCCGAAGGGCCCAGCACATGTTGTTGATTCAACACGGTTAATACGTAACCTGTTCATTTGTTTGTTTCGTCGTGAATTTAAATTTACATGTAAACGTTTCTAAATACAAATATGTACATGTAGAAACATGCCAATATATATATATATATTATATACACTATATTGACATTTGTTTATTTTTATTTACATACATATCTTTACATGCATGTTTCTATTTCACGTTTTTTATTTTAGGATTCCTGCTGTTATTGCGATTTCTTTTCAAGCCATGAAATTTGCCTCAACTCGCCAGTCGCTTGCTCCAGGCGCCAAGGCACAAGTCGGGGTCGGAGGCTTGGAGCAGCCTGAGAAGCACCAGCACGATATCCTCAGCTGCAGATTGGGATGCCACTGGTTCAATGGCAAATATGTCGATCGTATGACATGCATGTATGCCTACATAATACATCTATATCATCAGCGTATGTCTAAATAATTCTACATATTATATATATGTACATTCTGACAACCATAGCATGGAAGAAAATTGTTGTTTACAGCAAGTGCTACTACCGGGCCTGCACGATCTCTGCAAACATTGTTGCCGTGCCGCCGACATTTGGCGTGGGAACGGGGTGG